AAAACAATTCAATGGGGGAAAGGATAGTCTTTTGAAATACAGTGCTGGTATAAATGGATAGTCACATACGCAAAGGAATGAGGTTGGATCTGTACCTCACACCCAATATAAAAAGTAACTCAACATCGACCATAAACCTATGAGCTAAAGCTATAAAACTTCTACAGGAAAACAAGAGTACAAATATTTGTGACTTTGGATTAGGGAATAGTTTTAGACATGAAATCAAAAGCACAAGCAACAATAGAAAAAAAATAGATACAATGGACTTCAAAACTAAAAACTTTTGTCCATCAAAGAACATTATTGAGAAAGTAAAAATCCACAGAAAGGGAGAAAATATTTACAAATTGTATATCTTATAAGGGATAAATATCTTGAACATAAAAAGAACCCTTACAACTTGAGAATGCAAAGACAAATAACTCACTTAAAATGCGCAAAGCATCTGAAGATACTTTTCTTTGAAGATATACAAATGGCCAACTAGCACTAGAAGACAGGCTCAAGCTCATTTGTCATTAGGGAAACGCAAATCAAAAGCACAGTGAGATCCCACAACTAGGAAGACTATTAATAAAACAGATGGACAATAGAGTTGGTGAGGATGTGGAGAAACTGGAAACTTCATACACCCCCGGTAAAACGATGGTTGCAGACTCTTTGGAAACAAATTAGCAATTCTTCAAAAAGTTAAACTTAGAGTTGGCATACAACCCAGACATTCCACTTCTAGGTAAATACCCAAGAGAATTGAAAACACTGTGCCTGGCAAAAACTTGCCCATGAATGTTTACAGCAGCAATATTCATAACAACCCAAAAGTGAAAACAACCCAAATGTCCATCAAACTGCTGAATGGATAAACAAAATGTGATATCTATATACTGGAATATTATTCAGCCATAAAAAAGAATGAAATGAACAACACTGATGAACCTTGAAAGCATGTTAAGTGAAAGAATCCACACATGAAAGGCCACAAAGCTGATTCCATTTACATAAACTATATTAAACAGGCTTTCAAAAACTACTTGCATAAACATTTAACTGACATGGGCAACTACTTACAGGTTATCTGTAATGAGGGGCTGGAGTTGGGAAAGGCAGGAACACAGAATACTGAAACCACAGATGTGGCTGGACATGGTAATCCTGTAATCCCAGCACTTTGGGAGGCCAAGGCAGGAGGGTTGCTTAAGCCCAGGAGTTTGAGACGAGGCTGGACAACAAAGGGAGATCTCTCTCTACAAAATTAAAAATTAAAAACACAAAAACCACCAAGTGGGCATGGTGGCATGTGCCTACGGTCCCAGCTACTTGGGAGGCTGAGGCGGGAGGATTGCTTGGGCCCATGAGGTTGAGGCTGCAGTGAGCCACCACTGTGCCACTGTACCCCAGCCTGGGTGATAAAGCTGAAAAAATAAAATAAAATAAAAAATAAGGAATCATAGATGTTCTGAGACCCTAGTCGCTCACTAGAACAGTGTTTCATTCCTGGGATGAAAACGTGGGTAGAAAGTTTCATGACATAGTTCTTTCAGAGATACAACTCTCACATTATATGAGGCCCTTAACTTTGGTCACAGAAATGGACAGTGAATAAGGAGTCAGGAAAGTTCAACCTTTTCACTAACCAGCTGTGTAACCTTGGGTAAGTCACTTAAATTGCTATGATTTCTGAGCTAAAGTTCTAAAAAATTGTAGGCCTCTGTACTCAGCATGAGGTTTGGAATTAACAAAGAGTAAACACCATGTTAACCTAGCAATCTAATAACATACCCTATATTATTCTGACTTCTGAAAGACAGCTAGGAATCATCTGCTTATTTTAGAAGCTCACTGTTCCCTGGGAAAGATAATTTTGGCACAAGCAGCAGTTCAGATGACAGTTCCAGTGTTTTGGAGAAAACCAACTAATTTATTGACAACAAAGCCTGTTTTTTTTTCCTTCCTTGAAATTTCATAGCTGTAGGCCCAGAAATACAAAGTCTCCAGAATACTCAAAAAATATGTTCTTAATTCCTTTTTATTTCCCACCCGGAGCTGAGAGAATAGCACCAACTGTGTCATATTAAACACATCTGCACCCAACACTGATAAAGCCCATGACCCAGGAACAGATAAGAATTGTTTTCAATTTGTTCAAATGGAAATAGTTAAATTTAACCTAATTAGACCAAATAATCAAAGCAGGTGTTTGTAAGACGCCAATGTTTGTTTTCATTCTCTGTAATTGTTCAGCTATATTTCCCAGGAACTTAGGTAAAGGAAATTAATCTGTCATAAAAATCACTGGCCTATTTGTGTCACACATGTATTATTCATGTTGTAGGCAGTACAAATACAGGACATTGTTGAATACCTCTCACAGATTTTACCATTTAAGCATCATCAACACCTAAGCTGGCCTGTGGGGTGCGGGGTGTGTGGGGGGGTTTGTTACCTAACTTCCATCGCATAAATATAAGCAGTAATAAATAAGAGCCTGTTTTCTAACTGTACAGTAATCTACAAAGCACACTGACTTGGCATTTAGACTATTTATAGTTTCTGATTCCACTCACACAAGCTGGTCACTTTTGAGACATTTAAAAGAAAAATAATAACAATAATAAAAGTCGTATTCCAGTAAAAACGAAATGTTTATTGCACTTGGCAGAGTGATGAGATCTGAACTATAAATACCAAGTAACAAAGAAGCCACAAAATGTAGTCACCAGCAGCCTGGTATTAGGAAGTGTTTTTGTGCGGTGGCCATAGGTCCACTTTCCAAGGGAAAAAGGGCAGGTGGCTGCCCGGGAGCAGTCAAGCATGCTCTTTCTAATAACACGTTCCAGCCCTGGTAGGCTCTCGTACTATTCCACACACGCTCGGGATGGGAAACAGAAACACAACCAAGAAACGCCCCATAAAAGCCTGTGACTTGGAAGCTCCTGAAAAGGGGATCCCTCCCTGATGCCTGGGGGTTCTGCAGCAGGGACAGAAGCCTGGAAAGTTGAGTCCACAAAGAGGGTTCTCAGATTCCCTTCCCTATGTGAGTGACTAGTGTTTCCTGACTCTGGCCCTGGCTGTGCTGTGGGGTCACAGTACAGGCAGCTGGAGAGCTCACGATCTGCCACCTTAGCACAAATGGGATGCTGGGCACTTCTCGCTATGCCTCAGTTTCCATGTGTCTATGATGAAAGAACATTAGTACTTTCTTCATTAACACACATAAAAATGCTTGGCACAGCGCTTGGCATAGAGACAGATGCTCAATAAATGTTGGCCATTATTATTATAACCCCTCCAAGGAGGATGAGATTGAAAACAATGTTTCCTAAAAATGAGAATATAATGGACATCCTATCCACATTTCCGGGGTAGGAAAACAGCCTTCTGAGATCACTTATATGAAAGGTATAGATGGACAAATCCTTATCTACCGAAAACATGTCTATCTAAGATTGCTATGTGATTTCCTTAGGATTAATCCTCTTCAATAGTCATATTTCAATATATTATACATACATGTAATTATAAAAGAAAAAGTTGCATGAAATTTATAAAATGGAGACTAAGGAAGGAAAAGCCCACTCACAAATCCACCAAGAGAGCTTAAAATGAAAGTGTGAAAATGCAGGTATTTGTTTAAATACTTGGTAAAAGAAAACGTTCAATTCAATAGCTGTGACAGACACAATTTTAAGGGGTGTGGGCATAAGAGAAACAAAGTCCATCTCTCAGAGTAAAAGGGGTAAATATTTAGTCAAGTCTCAGATGGTATTTCTGTAAACAGAAACTTCAATGGAAAATTTCCAACCTGAAAGCAAATTATTTAAGATGGGTTTAAAATAAGAATTCTAGCTCTTGTCTCCATGTCCCTGCCCAGCCTGAAACCCAGAGCGCTGAGTCCTTGTGGCAGCCGGGCTCTTTCCTCCTTGTTCCCTCAACTACAACTGGGGACTATAATTTTCTTTCCATTCCAGCAGGAAACTGATATATACTAATGATGACAGCTGGATTCAGAAGAGGAAAAAGAATACAGGGGACAGAGAGTCCCTGTGGGTTTAAAACTCAAAACAAAACCCCCAGATTTGAAATTTTTAAAACCTAGTTAATGGCTGAGGAAACCTCAAATGATTGGGAAGCACTCAGATAAAAGTTTGAATTACACAAAACGCATCATTATCTTAAGCTTCTCTAATCACCTTCTCTGCCTTTCTCCTTCACTATTTTTCTCCTTGTTTATGCTCCCAGCCCTTGAATGTGGTTCTAAGATATTTTAGAGGTAGGAACAGCCTTCCAAGGTCATTTACAGAATAGGACTGAAGAGGGGATGAGCCCTAACATCCAAAAAAGTTTCCGTGAAAAAGCTCCTCCATCCAAAAACGTTTCCCTGAAATTGTTATTACTTCATTTCCTTTGGAATAATCAATCCCTTTCAAGATTCATATTTAAATACATTTAATGTTTAAACATATGTATATACACATATATTAATGAAACAGAATTATGTTTCATAAAATTACTAAAATAGAAAACGAGAGACGGAATCTCCCCTGTAATCCCATCATTCTAAAATAATTACTTTTACCATAGCACTCCCTTTAATTCTAGTCTGGTCTTCCATTCCCCGCTCCCTATCTCCCAAAACCCTAATATTGATTATCAAAATGGCTGGACAAAGGCAAAGTGAATGAATCTCTAGTTATATTCTTTTTTTTAGAGACAGGGTCTTGCTCTGTCACCCAGGTTGGAGCCCAATGGTGTGATCACAGCTCACTGCAGCCTTAAACTTATGGGTTCAAGGGATCCTCCCACCTCAGCATCCTGAGTAGCTGGGACTACAGGCACATACCACCATAACCAGCTAATTAAAAAAAAAATTCTGTAGAGATAGAGTCATGCTATGTTGTCCAGGCTGGTCTCAAACTCTTGGCCTCAAGCAATCCTCCTGCTTTGGCCCCCCAAAATGCTGGGATTATAGGTGTGAGCCATTGTATCCAGCAACTTACATTCTCTTGGAGTGGCACTAGGAACTTGGTTCCATAAGGGTCCTAAAAATCCTGTAAGGATGACAGAGAAAGAAATCTCACATTGTCTTAAAAACCACACAGTCCTACTCTCTGTCTTGTATCGTCCAATAATCTCCTTTGTCTACAGAGTCAAATTCAAGCGCCTTAGACTTTGGCCTATGAATGAGGCCTTCCATGACTGGGTTTCTGTCTCCCCAGCCTTATCAGTCACACCCCCCTGGCCTTGAACCCAGCACTCTAGTGACCATGTCCCTGGTGCTTTGAATGCTGTGCTAATTTGTGCCCTTACAGCTTTGGCCAAGCTCCTACCTCTGTCTGTAATACCCACTTCCACCTGCCCATCCTGGTGAATCCCCACCCACTGACAAAACTCTGTTCAACCACCCCCTCTTCTAGGAAGTCTTTCCTGTCCTCTAAAGTAGAAATGATCTAACTTTCTTTAGTGCCTCCAATATGTCCCATACATACTTCCCTTAATACAGCATCTGAAAAATCCTTTACTGCACCTACTTATAAGCCCAAGGCATACTCATGTCTATCTCCAGATATAAGTGCTCAATATGTCTCTGAGGCTAGCAGGTTTGATGAATGAAAAAATAAATAAACAAGAAAAAAATATGATCTTTTTCTGGATCAGCCAGAGGGACAGAGGTAACCCTAACCAAGTGGACTCCTAACATTCTAAGCCAAGTATGTTATACCGCAGTGTTTTCCTAGGAAAGCAAGCCTTTCGTCTTTCCTGAAGATGTCTAAAAATATGTGGAGAACAGTGAAGGTGAGGAGTTGAACACAGTGCTGCCTGGCTGAAGGAGGCTGGATTGGATGCATGGCTTCCAGCGAATAATAATGACAATAATATTAATAATACTTAATATTTGTTGAGCATTTATTCTGTGCCATGCCAAGCACATTCTTCACACAGGGCTTTACATGTATAAACTGCAATCGCTCTAAGATAGAGATCTTATTATCCCCTTTTACAATGGTAAAACCATCTCAAAACAGCTAAATAACTTGCCTAAGGTCACACTGCCTAAGGTGGCAGATCTAGGGTTCAAACTCAGAGGTCTGGCTTCAGTCTATGTGGTATACTTCCTACTCTGAGCTTTGTGAGCTAATAATGGAGGCAGATATATATTTATATATATATAAACACCTTGCTTGAATTCAGAAAAATTTGCATCTGTTTGATACATGAGTTTAAATAAAATCTGTAATTTGATAACAGCTGTTACTATTCTAAAAACTAAGGAAAACTGCATTTCAATCAAACAGTTAATAAATCCATTTTATGAGGGCCTACTATGTGTTTAGATGACAAAGAATCTAAGACATGGTCCATTCTTTCAAGGAGCTCATATGCTAAGACTATAATTTCATCACATTATTTTGAAAGCATATTGAAATCTACATGTCGAAATAGGTGATCACCATATTTGGTGATGTATTTATCCACTGCTTAACCTGTTTCAGGGAACAATTTATAAAACACACAAGTATAGATTTCACTACATTAAGCACAGTTTATTTTTATCCCAAACAACGCTTTCCATCTTAATTGCCATTTTATTTGGTATTTGGTAAGTTCTAAAAATCTATTCCATCCTCAGAGAAAGAAAATATACTCCCACTGTTTGTGTGGATGTATTATACGAACATGCACATTCATACAGATAGATACACAGATACATAAATACACACATATCCAGTGATTTTATAAGGGCAATTCTCTGAAGACTGATCAAAATTCATGCTGTCCAAAAAAATATAAGTCATATATGTAATTTAAAATGTAAATAGCCACATTTTTCATCATTAATAATGTTACTTTAATGTATCTTTCGAATTGTTATGATGTCATTTACAATTCTTCCTATCTCTCCATTTGACAAAGTTAAATACTTTCAAAGTTAAATATGTATATTTCAATGGCAGTTTTACTTTTTTCTTTCTTATTTTTTCCCATTCTAGTTGCCACATTGAAGTTTTTTTTTTTTTTTTTGAGACAGGGTATCACTCTGCCGCCCAGGCTGTAATGCAATGGCGTAATCATAGCCCACTGCAGCCTCAAATGCCTGGACTCAAGTGACCCTCCTGCCTCAGCCTCCCACCTACCTAAGCCTACAGATGCATGTGGCTAATTTTAATTAATTAATTTATTTTTGAGGCAGAGTCTTGCTCTGTCACCCAGGCTGGAGTGCAGTGGCACAATCTCAGCTCACTGCAACCTCCACCTCCTAGGTTTAAGTGATTTCTCCTGCCTCAGCCTCTTAAGTAGCTGGAATTATAGGCAGGTGCCACCACACCTGGCTAATTTTTGTATTTTTAGTACAGACAGGGTTTCACCATGTTGATCAGGCTTGTCTTGAACTCCTGACCTTGTGATCTGCCCACCTCTGCCTCCCAAGGTGCTGGGATTACAGGTGTGAGCCACCACACCCGGCGTATTTAAATTTTTTTTTTTTTTTAGAGATGAGGCCTCACTATGCTGCCAGGCTGGTCTCAAACTTCTGATCTCAAGTGATCCTCCTGCCTCAGCTTCCCAAAGTGCTAGAATTATAGGCTTGAGCCACTACATCTGACTTCAGCTGCCACATTTTAAAAAGTAAACGAAACAGATAAAATTAATTTTGATAATACATTTTAAATTTAACCCAATATATCAAAACATCATCATTCCAACACATACATAATTAATATAAAATTATTGAGAAATTTTATTTTTAACTCATACTAAGTCTTTGAAATCTAGTATGTGTTTTACACTAATAGAACATCTCATTTTGGACCAACCACATCTCAAGTGCTCAAGATCCACAAGTACCTAGTGGCTGCAGTACTGGATAGCGCAGGATAAAATATTCATACTATATATACAGGATAAAATAGTCATAGAATATTCTAGTTGCCATACTAGAATAAAAGCGTCCTGCCTCACATCTTACTCTGCAGAGTAACAACTTTAAGAGGAGTAATATATAGATGGAAGTGAAATGATGCTAAGTTATTAAACACAGCTTGTGAAACTCTAAATGTTAAACAGTTTGGAGAAATAGATGGTTCAAAAAAGCCAAAGTCATCTTCAAGGAACCCAGTTCACCGGTCAAGGATGCATAGTTGGGGAAGAAAGAAGGTATTTTACAACATGTAAGGGTTAACCATTCTAGACAAGGAATGATGGCACTAAATGAGCCAAGAAAAACTCAGTTCAAATAAACTGATGATGATAGTCAACCACAAACTATCAAAATCCCAGTGAACAGATTTGTAAGCAGTGAACAAATCTGTGATGGCCAAACCCCTTTAGATACATAGGCAGAGAAATACTATAAAGCTACATGGAATTTGGAACTGAAATATGAAATGGTGGAAATCTAAAGCAATTTACTTGGTAACACTGGATTCACAATCTCTTTATAAACTCTGCACTCCAGTTAACTCAAGAGTAAACTAAAGTAGATGCAACTCTGGAGTCCCTTACAGCCAGGGCGACCAATAATTTATGATGCAAACCTGGTCACTTTCAAGAGTAAAAGGGGGCATTATTAATAATTATGCTACGAAAAGAGGCATAAACTGGGATTGTTTTATAGCTATAAAATCACAAGATTTTACACTACCAAGAGGATACAACAGCTACCCCTATCCAGGGATGTGGAGTTGATGAGAGTCTAGCATGTTCTTATTACCGCTGCATGGCCACAGGGGTTTTGTGGGCTAATATACATCGATCTGGGTGAGATGGTTTTGCATGCTCCCACCTCCCCAACCTCCCTCCTGCAAAGCATTTTAAATTGGTTTGAATTTGGGAACAGGGTTCCATATGGACAGAGCTGGACATTGACAGCCTGAATGTATTTACTGAAGATAACAAATCATTGACAGACTAAATGTAACAGAGGAAAGGCCTGGTCTGCTTGCACTCAGAATCTGACTTTGTAATTGTAGCCTCCTTTAGACAGGCCTAATCAATTAGAAGAGGCTGATTTTAACCAGTTGCAGGTTCATTACCCTGCATTCCAGTTTGTGTTGATGAAAATCAGTTTCAGTCTGTGGCCTGGAATTCATGTACAGCACTTTCGGCAGCTTCTTATATAAACACATCAAAAAAATTTTATTTGGAGTTGCCCTTCTTCTTTAAAAAAGAAAAACCACTTTGCAAATCATGATTAAGACAGAACAACTGAATGTGGATCTGGAGTCATAGCCAGAAACATACATGACCAAGAAACATGGGGAAAGTCAGCGCCTGAGACAGCAACTCGTAAATCCATTGGTGTCAGGGTCGATTTGAGAAGAGTCTCAAATACCCAGCATCAAATGAGCCCAGCTCAGTCATCTCCACAGAATGGAACAGAATGAACTTGCAGCTATTCAAAATGATGACCTTTCAAAGAAAATACATCAAATAGCAAAAAGCCAGGGCTGTAGAAGCACAGAGGGTATCTGAGTAGACTTCACTCTTCCCTGAACGATCAACTAGAAAATAAATGACAAACTTCCAAAAAGAACAAGTTTCCCCGAGAAAGTTCTATGAGGGAACTATACGACACTGTTTAATTTTGATGTGTGATTAGTCTTAAAAAAGCAGAAGGTAGAGCAGTGTGTGGCGGAGCCACTCAAAACGCCATCTACATTTCAAAGATGTGCAACCATTCCAAAATATAGTATAACTAAGAATCATACCTGGCTGTTTGTCCTTTGTAGATTTGTTGAGGCAGCAGGACAACAGGAAGAGAATATCAATATATACAGCTCTGGTCACCAAACATGGATTTTGCCTAGAAAGGTAAAGAACAGAATATATTGATATTTTATCTCCCTTAGGTCTGGGTCTTAGGAAGGAGAACATGGGTATTTTCTATGGTATATGATGGGGTTTAAGCAACTATGGCAAATGGTGAGAAAAGATGTACAATCACTGATGGCAAGAAAATAAGCAACTCGTGAGAAAATGAAATCCTTGACCATATGATAGAGGCCAAGGATATGTGTAGACAACATAGATAAAAGCTCTATGCGTTGGCTTCAAATAAAATAAAATGAAAACAAATACCAAGAATGTATCCTGGTTAGTTGAAAACAAGATGGGGCAGAAGGGGTGGGGAGGTGGTATTCTATTATTCCTTAGGGTAGAAATTTGGAGAAAAAAAATCATCAGACATGAAAATCAGATTTAGCGTTTCGGAGAAGGAAAACTAACTCACATATGAAAAACCATATCTATGGAATTGAAATAACCAGTTCAACAACAGACATGTGGCAAAATTAACAAACATTGGAGATGACATTTTCCCCAATAAACAGAATTTTTTCTTCATTCAATATATGGAGCAGCTCTTTGAACCACACAGTGGAAATAGTAAGTGGGCTCAGATTTGGGGGTCTAAACACAAAAGGAAGAACAAAGACTTGCTTTTTAAGAACAGTACTGAAGGGCCTTGACTCTTGAGTGTCTTTGGCCATGAAAAGGCTAAAACATCTTTGGTGTACTAATAATACAACGCGAGTAATAGAGACAGCAGGGACAGACCTACATTTGGGTCCCGGCTTTCCCACTTATTATTTATGTGACCTGAATCAGACTCCTGACCTGTAAAATGGGAACTATATTATCACCTCTGCTATGGTTTGAATGTCCCTGCTAAAACTCATGTTGAAATTTAATGCCGTTGTAACAATGTTAAGAGGCAGAGCCTTTAAGAGGTGACTGGGTCATGAGGGTTCTGTCCTCATGAATGAATTAATGCTGCTACCTCGGGACTGGGCTAGTCATTTGGAGCGTGGGTTTGTTATGAAGACAAGTTTGGCCTGATATCCTCTCTGTCTTGTGTGCTCTCTTCTGCTTTCACCCTTCCACCATGGGATGACCCTTACCAGATGCCAGTGCCATGCCCTTGGACTTCTCCGGCTCCAGAACCATAAGCTAAATAGATTTATTTTCTTAATAAATTATGTAGTCTGTGGTATTCTGTTACAGAAATAGAAAATGGACAAAGACAGCCTTACTGAGTCACTGTGAGTGTTCAATGTGGTACAGGAAACTTAAAATACCCATCTCAGTGCCTGGCCATGGCAGATGTTCCAGAAGTGTTCATTCCCTGCCCTTGTCTACTTCCAACACGGATTAGGAGATGGCATTGAAACTGGCACAAGTGTTCTGGCAAGTGAGTTTACATGTGGCTTAATCCTGAAATCTATCCTTCTCATTTCCTATAAACAAACAGTTTTACCATTTCCCTAAAGTTTATTCACACCTCTATCCTGAACTGCCTATATCTGGAGCTGGCATATATCTGCCACGAAAAATGTATCAGATACGTTTTTTATTTTTTAAGACAGAGTCTCACTCTGTCACCCAGGCAAGTGGCGCAATCTCGGCTCACTGCAACCTCCACCTCCCAGGTTCAAGTGATTCTCTTGCCTCAGTGTCCTGAGAAGCTGGGATTACAGGTGCATACTACCACACCTGGCTAATTTTTTGTATTTTTAGTGGAGACAAGGTTTTTCTATGTTGGCCAGTCTGGTCCCAAACTCCTGGCCTCAAGTGATCTCACCCACCTTGCCTTCCCAAAGTGGTGGGATTACAGGCGTGAGCTACCACACCTGCCCTGTATCAGATACTTCTGATTAAGATCTGTCCAGTATTAAGGGTCTTTTTGTTGCTGAACTGCCCCAGTTCAGCCCCCATGACTTGCCTCACTTACGTAACTGCTTGCTCTCTGACCTTTACCTAGTGAAACTGCTAGTTTATACATATACCTCAGATCTGGCTTAATTTTATACCTATACCTAGTTATTTGTAAAATTTCATTTTTTTGTTTTATTTATTTATTTGGAGACAGGGTTTTGTTCTATCACCCCAGCTGGAGTGCACTGGCATGATCTCTGCTTATTGCAGCCTTGACCTCCTGGACTCAAGTGATCCTCCCACCTAAGCCTCCTAAGTAGCTGGGACTAGAGATGCACACCACCATGTCTGGCTAATTTTTTTTTTTTTTTTTTCTAATAGAGACAGAGTTTCATCATGTTGCCCAGGCTGGTCTCAAACTCCTGGGCTCAAACAATACACCTACCTTGGCCTCCCAAAGTGCTAGGATTATAGGCATGAGCCACTGTACCAGGTCTAAAATTTCATTAAAAAAAAATTGGTATTTGAGAGGCTAAGGCAGGCAGATCATCTGAAGTCAGGAGTTCAAGACAGCCTTGCCAACATGGTGAAACCCCATTTCTACTAAAAATACAAAAAATTAGCCAAACATGGTGGCACACACCTGTAATCCCATCTACTTGGGAGGCTGAGGCAGGAGAATCACTTCAGCCTGGGAGGCAGAGGTTGCAGTAAGCCAAATCGCCCACTGCACTCTCCAGGCTAGGTGACAGAGTGAGACTGCATCTAAAATAAATAAATAAATAAAATAATAATACGTGCAAAAATAATAGAAAAAATGAAGTCCCTTTTCCATAACCCTGCCCCCTGCCCACCTTCTGTTCCCCTGAGGCAACCACTATTACTACTTTCTAGCACATCCTTCCAGGCACATTCTGCTCTTTTATAAGCATCTATCTGCTACCCACTTGTTTATATACATGGTGGCTTACTATACATTAGGTTCTGATCATTACTTCTTTTCACTAATATATTTCAGATACCATTCTATTAAGAACACAGAGATTTGCCTCATTTTCTTTTCTTTTTCTTTTCTGAGACAGGGTCTTGCTCTATCACTCAGGCTGAAGTGCAGTGGCATGACCACAGCTCACTGTAGCCTCAACCTCCTGGGCTCAAGTGATCCTTCCACCTCAGCCTCCCAAATACGTGGGTCTACAGGTGCATGCCACCATACCCAGCTAATTTTTAAAATTATTTTTTTAGAGATGGGGTCTGGCTATACTGTCCAGCCTGGGGTTTTGCTTTTTAACCTTGCCCCTATCTTTTGTGTCTAGTTTACCCTGGGACTCTGAATCATCACTTCCTGCTGTTACTCTTCCATTCACTATGGAAAGCTCACAATCTATGAAAACTTTAATGATATCATTCCCAATGGTAAAGATTTCTACTGTTTAACAGTTGGGTCTGCCCCCTGCTGAAGCAAGAGCCACTCAGGGAGGAAAGCCAGTGGCCTGAGAAAGCAGGTAAGGCACCTCCTGTGCATCCAGCCTTGAGTTAGGTGCAGGGAGGACGTGCACAGGAGATGGCTTCTGACCTGAGAATTTTGTCTAGTTCTGGAGACAAAAACAAAGACGAACTTTAGAACAGGATGTAAGGTGTTAAGCCAAAAAACAAACAAACAAAACCCACCAGGGTAGACGGGAGAAATGAGGTTATACTTCCAACTGGGCCATGTAAGATGGGAAGAATGCAGAGGCAAAGTTTATAAGGAAGGGCATTTTGAAAGAGGGTAAGTGAGAGGGAATTCATTTGGCTTCTCCAGACCCGAAGAGAGCCAGCCTGGGAAGATTAGAGAATGCGTTGAGAAGGTAGAAATAAGAGCAAGGCAGGTCAGGCTTTTAAGTGATGGGATACTTCACGCTAACTGGGTGTTCCTTAGTATAATAATCGACTGCCTGCTCCCATGGCCTCACAGAGTCATAGCTTCTTGCCCCAAATGTTTTTCTGGTTTTTGGTGGAGCCATACAGAGCCATAAAGAAAAGTTATTGAGAAACTTTGGCTTTCAAGTCTGATGAGGAGCACGGTTTCCAGGAGATTTTCAGCTAAGTTAGCATATTTTTAAAAGTTTCTAAATGAATAGAGGAAAGGTTGACGATCTTAAAAGCCTCCTGCCAGACTGAAGTGTTTTGCATCTTCCCTAGGCCTGGTACAGGTTGGTGACCTTACTGGCCTCCTGGGACACTTCAGGAATCACTGACTGCCCCCACAACTGTGAGGCTTGGGGCCAAGTCTGATGTAGTCAACGAGATCACGGGAGGCTCCCTCAAATGCTGCTGCTTCAGAGTCCAGGAAACAAGATCTGCGGCCACAAAGGAGGCCATCCATGGCTTCTCCTTTGAGATGACTCTGAGAGAAATTCTGGCCTGAAGCCCACTGCTCATGACTCCACCCTTGAGGACAGCCAAGGCCTCATAACATCCCTGTCTGGAGTCACAGAGCTGGGCTTCACTCTGAACTGGCTTCTAAGTCAGGAAAATAATTTTTTTCATTCTTTTTCTCTTGCTATTACTTGGTGTTTGTTCTGACTTGGAAATGGTGCACTGTGAGTTTAGGGTGAGCCAGAGGTTTGTTCTCAGTCTGTCAAGCCACTTTGATGATGGGAACAAAATCCCAAAGAACAGCACGCCAGCTGGACAGGAAACTAAGCCACAGGGTTTTGGTGGGCTTGGGGATTTTTTTTCTGCCCCCAAATGGAAAAATCCTGGCATGGAGCACAGCATAATGAAGATTTATAGTGCTTGAAAAAAATCAGAAGTGATCAGGTTCTAGCAGATGCACTGAAAAGCAGCATAACAGTGGCTTTCGAAGGAGGAAAAGGAATCCAGTACTATGTGGATGAAATTGACATACAGAAGGTGAAATGAAGGCCCTGTTAAGACTCTTGCTTTTTCCACTCTTTTTTACCGTTTGTCCCTTACAAATATCCACTTAAGAACCTGATTAACATGTTTTTGCCTTGGGAAATCCCTGAGCTTCTTTAAATGTCCTGCTCTCTCTCCTAGAAACTGGGAGACGCAGAAGGCAGGCAGAGAGCGGGCCTTCCCAGACATGTCCACAAAGGCCCCAGTGTCTAGAGGACAGCAGGAGTCTTGGGAAATCTGTGATAA